CCCCAAAACCCCAAAACCCCAAAACCCCTCAGTCAGAGTAACTTATTTAAAATAATTTAAATTATAAATATATACTAGCAGCAATGTCTAAGTATAAAGAACTCTTAGAGCTTGGTGATAAGCAACTTCTAGATAAAAAGAACTACACTGAAGCTGAAAGGCTGTATAATGAGGCAATGAAGTTACAACCCTTTGGAATTGATGCGATAAATGCCTTGATGGTTAGTAAGAGGTTGATGAAGACAGAGGTTGATTCTACCCTACTTTCGAAGGCACTTAAAGCTGTAGAGAAGCACCCAAAGCATTTCTTGACTCTTTTTAATATCTCTCTTGTGTACCTTGAAAGAGCAGATTATGCCAATGCTCATGAATATCTTAAGAGAGCTTATAAAATTCAGAATGGGAATCTTCAGCTTTTATATAATCTTGCTTTTTGAAAACAAGAGTTGAAAGATTACAGTAGTGCTATTGAGCTGTATGATAAAATCATTGAAAAAGATCCTGAGCATCACAAAGCAATCACTCATTTAGCAATCTGCCACCATTATTTGGGGCAAACTGAAGAGGCAGCGAAACGGATCAGAAAATGCATTGAAAATGGGAATCCTGACGCAAAGCTTTATGTCAATATGGGAATTTTGCTCAAATAAAATGAAGCAGTATGATGAGGCCCTAGAATATTTTGATAAATCTCTTGCTATGTCTCCAAATTTCCATGCAATGTACAACACAGCTACATTGTACTTTGAGAAACATGAATATGAGCAAGCTTTCGAATGGTTCGAGAAATCTAAGGAATTCACAAAGCATAATCACGAAATAAAGCTTGCAGAGCTAGGCACAGCCACTGTCCTGGAGAAGGAGAGAAATTATGACGAAGCAATGGCAATTTATAAAAAGCATGGCCTTAAAGATAAGATAGATGCATGCAAAGCATCTCAGATTAGATACCAGAAGAGACTTAAAATGCAAGAAAAGCAAAACCAGAAAGATTCAGAAGATGAAAATATGGAAGATACAAAGAAGGAAGAAACAAAGATGGAAGAAACTAATGCAATACCAGTGGCAGCTCCTGTTTTGGTAGATATTCCGATTGAAGAAGAAAAGAAAGAAGAGATTCCAGATCAGATTGTAAAAGAGATTAAAGAAGATTCAGTTCATCAATCACAAAATTTACAAGAAGAACCTTCAAATTCTCTAAATGATCCAACAAATACTCTAAAAGAACACCCTCAAGAGATACCTCCAAACCCTTCCATGTAATACACCATTCCTTCCAAATGTAATTCTAATCCCTTAAAATAGGTCAGAAAAGCTCTCAGACAACGATAAAATCGAAAATTCACCAAATCTCGAATCTAATCAAAAATCCCAAAAAGACCTAGAGCTTGCTGCTCAAAAAGCTGAAGAACAGCATCTAAAACAGGAACAACTGCTTCTCGAAGAGAAGCAGAAACAAGAAGAGCTCAAGCAAAAGCTCGAAACCCAGAAACAAGAGCAAGAACTGCTCAAGAAGCAGCATGAGGCTGACCTCCAAAAACAGAAGGAAGAACTTGCCTTAAAAGAAAAGCAAGAAAAAGAACGAATCCTTAAGGAAAAACACGACCAAGAACTACTTGAGCAGGCACGTCTTGAGAAACAGCGACTTGAGAAGGAAAAACTTGAGAAAGAACAACTTGAGAAGGAAAAACAAGAACAAGCCAAGCAGAAAGAGATAGAACAGAAGAGACTTATAGAAAAGAAGAAGGAAGAAGAGATGAAGAGAAAGCAGGATGAGGAGAGACAGGAACAAGAGAGACAAAAGAAAGAGAAACAGAGGAAGGAAGAAGAGCAAAAGAAACAAGAGGAAGAAAAGAAGCAGAAAGAAGAGAAGAAGAGTACAAAAACTGCTGTAATGGAGAGTAAGCTGTCTGAGAAGAGGTCTTCAAAGAAATCTCCCAGTGAGAAAAATGAGGATGTTGATCCTAATGATAGCTATATCAGAGACCCAGAGCCTAGCAAAATTGAAGAAACCCCTGCGCGGTTGGTCAACAGAAAGTTAGTTTCAAGCAGTGTCACTGGATCAAGACATGTTAAAAACAAAGGGTCTGAACTGAAAATCGATAAGGCATCTGTTAGCAACTCTATGATGGGAATAGAAGACAGTAAGGAAGACACCTTGCAGCAAGAGCAAAATCTTGATCTCCACATGGCAGTTCATGAAGAAGATGCTGAACATCAAGAAGATATGGAAGAGGGAAAATCAATGGAACAGTTCGACTCTGACTATTACAAAGAGCTTCTTCTTGAAAAGACAGTCTGCCCTAAGACTCACTTACTCTGAGCTCTAGCTCTAATGAGAGAGAAGAAGTGGCAAGAAGCCTTAATGTATATTAAAAAGACAGAAGTTCTAGATCCTAATTATCAAAAAGCCAAAGTGCAGGAATGTTATGCAGATATCTTTTTCAATGACAAAAATGAGCAATGGGAAACTGTCCAAGACCTCTATGATAAAGCTTTATCGAGGTATGACAGAGAGCTGCAGTCAAAACTTGATTGTAACGTTCCCGATGAAATTGAGCAAATCAGGGAAAATATCTGAGTCATCTACATTAAGAAAGGAAAGTGCTACGAGAAGATGAAAATGATCGATAAAGCAATTGAAATGTACCACGAAGCACTTGAATATGATTCCAAGAATCCTCTTGCCTATCTTAGAGTGGGATGGGCTCATGTCAGAAAGAATAAAATACCTGAAGGCTACCAGTACTTAAAGAAAGGTCTGAAGTACAAATAAAGACTCAATAGAAATGATGATCAGACTTACTGAAGTTATCCTAATGATGAATGATGAACGTGCTAAAGAGAGACAAGAAATAGCAATGAAGTACATCAACAGCTGACTTGAAAGAGAACCAGAAAATATTGAAGCAATCGTCCTTCTAGCCAGATTGAAAGAAAAGGAAGGAAAGCTAGATGAATCATACTCTATTTATGAGAAAGCGATCACCATAGATTGCACCAGGTCTCAATCATTCTATTATCTTGCTCAGTTATGAGAAAGAAGGAAAGAACTTAAAAAGGCTATTAAAGTTTACAAGCAATGCTTATTTCTCGACACTAGAAACTTTGCATGTGCCATCAGCCTAGCCACACTGCTAGGCAATGAGGGAGAGCACCTCAAAGCAGCTAAGTATTTTAAACATGCTGTTGACATCAATCCTCAAAATGTGACTGCTAGGTACGGACTTGGTAAGGAAATTGTCCAAAATGGAAGCGATGCAACCGCTGCTGTTGAGCACTTCAATTATGTTATCAATAAGGAGCCTGAAAATTACAAAGCATACTGACAACTTGCGATAGTATACCTTGAGAAACAGAATTTCGACAAGTGCTGTGAAATGCTGAAGATCTGACTTTCTCTGAATAAACAATATGTCCTCGGATTGGTAACTATGGGTAATTTGCTATTTGAAACCGGAAGTCCATCTCAGTCGATCAAGTATCACCAGAAAGCTCTGAAATATAATCCTAAGGATATTCAAGCTTTGATTGGGCTCGGGAATTCTCTGTATGAGAATGGAGAGCCGAAGAATGCTATTTTCTACTACAAGAAAGCTATTGATATCGATGAAACCTTAAGCGATGTCCATTACAATCTTGGAAATGCCATGTACCTTATAGAAGATACAGATGGAGCGATCAAACACTACAGGATTGCTATCAAGCTTAATCCTCAGAAACCAGAGAGCTATTATAATCTAGGAAATGCCCTCTGAGTAAAATCTGATTACGAGCAAGCTATTAAATATTATAGAGAAGCAATTGAGCTAGATGAATACAATGCCCCTGCTTATTATAATCTTGGAAATGCTTACTACATGATCTCTGAGTATGACAAGGCTATCAAGACTTACTTGCAAGCAATTCAGCTGAATCCAGAAAGCGCAGAATGTCATTTTAACATTGCTAGTGCATATAATGACAAAGGTGATTACAAAAATGCTTTGAGTCACTACAAAAAGTCTCTGAAATATGACAAAGACAATATTGAGACTATGGTGTGAATAGTCCAGACCTGCAAACATCTGAAGAAATATGAAGAAGCAGATAGGTTCATTAAAGAGATTAAGAATATCGATCCTACCAACGATATAAGCTTGAGTAATATCTAAATCCTCAACTTTTAAACTTTCAATTCAAAATCATTGAGAAGGGGTTTTGGGGTTTTGGGGTTTTGGGGTTTTGGGGTTTTGGGG